CACCACTAGCACCACTAGCACCACTAGCACCACTAGCACCACTAGCACCACTAGCACCACTAGCACCTACTACTACTACTACTACTACTACGACTACGACGACGACGACTACTACTACTACTACCAGTACTAGTACTAATAATTGTGAGATTGCTGCTATTCCGATTGGAGAGCCGTCGTCTCGACCAATCCGGGGCTCCTGAAGCGTAACGACGGCTACCACAATGAGGATCTACAAGAGGTAGTACAGCTCTGCGGTAAAATAACATCTCATGGGGGGCTGATAGTAGTTATTGTGCTAACCCAAGCGATGTTAAGATTCTGAGGGACTTAACCAGGACTCAGAATCACACAGCTGAGAAGCCGGCGCCCCCTTCGCCATGCACACGGTGGCCCCGGGCATCGAGGACTTGAACTGGTGCTGGTGCCCATACTCGCCCTGAGATGGAGGTCCAGGTGCTTCTGGTAAAGCTGAGGGGCCTGGGGTGTATACAGTCTATCGGATTTAGGGCTTTAATGCGCCGTCCTTTTAGCATCGGCTCTTCGCCGCCGTGTGTACTTAAAGAGATCTGACCAAGCGCCCGGCCTCACCTTCAATGTGCAGCGGGAAGGGCCTGGAGCTCGTGACACGGAACACGAAGACCTTCATCCTGCACTCTGCAAGTTTCACGGGCGTCTTTTTCCGCACCAAGTGACAGCAAGCGATGGCAAAGGAGTGTGATACCACTTGACAAGGCTGTCGCCTCGAATTTGGTGAATCCGGAGTGCGTCGGCGCTCTTCGCTCACTGCTTCCTTCCCACCGTGGCGTCATTTTGTGCCACGGATTGCATAGGTGGCCGCGACGACGAAGAGGTTCATGGAGACCTGAGACGGCATGCCCCTCGACAAGGCCCTCAGCTTAGGTACCTGAAAAGCACAAGTTCTACTGCAGCCAAGCGACTCCCAGCAGTAGCATCACGATCGCATAGCCACCATAGGTGTAGTGCGAAACCTTGCTCGACCTCTGCAGCGGACTCTACAAGAGCAGGAGCAGATTTGAGGGCTGCCGGAAACTCAAGCGCCGGGCATGTCAGCGGAGTTACCGGCTTGGTTGACAGCCTGGGTTGGGCGCGCCATCTGCGAAACAATGCATAAAAGCTCTCCGAGCCCTTCACTCCTAGTTGAACACCGAACATCATCCCAAGACCCTTCACCGGCAACCTTAAACACTGAACCCCAAGCCCTAAGCCCACCAAGAGCCCGGCGAGCAGGAGCCCACCAATGACTGGCCCAGCAGTGGAGCCGAAAAACCCTCGCTCAATGGGGAGTCGTTGCTTTTTTCAAGGAGGGCACTGGCTTTGGGTCGAGGGCGCAAAATCTTGAAGTTCAGGCTCTAGGGTTCAGAGTTGAAGGGGTTTCAGGGGTAGGGATGGTGTAGGTGGGATTTCGAGCTCCGGGCTCAGTATTGCGGGCTTTTGTGCCGCCTAGGACTTCAGGGTTTGCTTGCTGACCGTCGAGGGTTTGGGCTGGGAAGTATCCGGGCCCCTGGCTTAAGTGGTGGATTGCGAAGGATGAAGATTCGCGTTACGTACAACCTGTGAATTTAGTTCTGTCCTCACTGTTCTCACTAGCCTTGTTCAGAAGTTCCTTCCTCCCGCTTTCCGTCGACAGTGGGATTCGTATCATGACTGCAATACTACATGGATTGTTGGCTGCCATTGCAAGGCTTCGATAGTACTTAGTAGTCAAATGAAATCACCACTCACACACAAACAAGCACACACATAGCTGTAAACCTGGCGCTAACCTGAAAACTCGAGTCACCCACAAGCAGTAGGGACATGATGGTCGGATGCGTCACCCCGTTTCGGATTTTCGACATAGTGCCCCTGTCACATGGCATGCACCCCAGATCTTAGACGCAGCACGGGTCCAAGCATCTCAAAATAACTTGCCCTCGTCTTACTACTACGCAATAGACCCTAACCCGGCAAATCTAGTATAAGGGCCTTGACATTTTAACAGAGTTTGAGGATATAATATAGTGCATAATGATAACGAGGAGCCCGAAGGAAAATAGTCTTCTTCCGCGGACTGTAGCGCAGTGCATGCGCGTCCATAAGGAAAAACATGGGTACTTATATATGCAGGCTATTGCAGGCTTCTATGTTGCTGGCCTCAGATGTCCCCCGGCCTGAGATGCCCCAGAGGCCGAAGGCCTCTGCAGTAGACTTCCCTTCCGGCAGGCAGTCCAGGGCAAGGGCCTCTGAGGCGAAGGAGGAAGGCGAAGAGTCGGGGTTTCAGCGGATTTCTGGCTGCTGGAGAGAACGCCTTCAGGGCGTCGGGTCCTTTGATAAAGAGCTTAGGGATGAGGCGGAAGGACAGCAAGGCCAGGAACCCATGGCGCACGTCTGAGTCTGCAGCATAGTCGACGCTGACGTAGACGCCACTGCCTGGTACAGCAGATCACTGCAAATCCTACGTGTGATTCATGGGGGCCAGGAGGCCCTGAACCCTGAACCCCTAAACCTCAAACCCTAACCCTTATAGTACCCTTATAGTACCCTTTTTGTACCCTTCTAGTACCCTTCTAGTACCATTAGAGTAGCCTTAGAGATCCCTTCGAGGAGCCCTCTTGCATGTTCAAAAAACCTCTTGGGGGCCGTACCGAGGCCATAGCAGAGGCCGGCGGCCAGGATCAGGTGCCATCGGAGGTCGCCTTGGCTTCGGATTTAAGTTACTATAATGGGATTCTATAGTACATAATATGGCTTCCTTATTGTGGTAACTTAATTAGGATCTGCGGTTGTGTTGGAGGGCTGTAGGGCTTAGGATTCAGGAATTTTGGGGTTCGCAGTAGGGCTTAGGGGTTTTTAGGCTAATTTAAGGTTTAGTTTTGGGGTTGTTGGTTACAAGGGTCTAGGGCGGGGCCTGCGAAGCCGTCAAGACATACAAAGGCATGTCAAAGGCATGGGAAGGGACCGGCAGACCGATATCGGGTCATGTCCACTACCGAAACACCCCCTGGCACTGAATGCTAAAATAGCCTGGCAATGTCTGGGTCCGTGTCAAGAGAAGGGCAACGGACCCTTCCTTTGGGCTGACATCCAGCACATGAAACCGACACCACGAAGGGCAAAAGGATCCCTAATTCTGACGAAACCGTATTATACCGTATAGCTTGAGAATGTGATGCACAAAATTGTATGGCCAATTTGAGACAACT